GGTCCAGTTGCTAATAGGAAACACGCGGAAGTGCTCGCCCATGTGTTTTTTGCCGTTAAATTGGTTCCACAATTCCGGGCGTTGGTTTTTGGGGTCCCACTGCCCGAAATCATCGCGGTGAGAGAAGAAGCGCTCTTTGGCGCGGGCCTTTTCCTCGTCTCTGCGCGCACCGCCCATGGCCGCGTCAATATTGTGCTTTTCAATGGTATCGAGCAGCGTGGTAGTTTGCAAGGCATTGCGACTGGCATTTTTGCCGGTTTCTTCCCGCACGCGTCCGGTGTCAATTGATTCCTGTACCGAACCCACAATTAGCTTTACGCCCAGACTCTTCACCAGGTCGTCACGAAATTTCATGGTTTCCGGAAAGTTGTGGCCGGTATCAACGTGCATCAAGGGAAAAGGAATTTTGGCCGGCCAAAAAGCTTTGCGGGCCAGATGGGTAAGCACAATTGAATCTTTGCCGCCACTAAAGAGCAGTACCGGGTTTTCAAACTGAGCGTATACTTCGCGGAGTACGTAAATACTCTCGGCTTCCAGCTCTTTTAGGTGCGTTAGGGTATAGCGCATAGTTGCTTATTTAATTTTTAATCTATTCTTAATTTATGTTCAATGGCCGCGATAATTCGCTCCACTCCTTCCTCCAGCGAAAGCTGATGCGTAGGCACTTTCACATCGGGGTTTTCGGGCGCTTCAAAGGGCGAGCTAATGCCCGTGAAGTTGCTAATTTCTCCGGCACGCGCTTTGGCGTACAAGCCTTTCACATCGCGTTTTTCGCATTCTTCCAACGGGCAGTTTACAAACACCTCAACGTAATTTTCTTCGCCCACCATGCTTTTCACCATTTCGCGCTCCTGGCGGAAGGGCGATATAAAGGCTGAAAGCACAATGCAGCCGGCATCTATCATTAGTTTGGCCACCTCTCCAATTCTGCGGATGTTTTCCCTGCGCGACTCTTCCGAGAAGTCGAGATCTTTGTTGAGGCCAGAGCGAATGTTGTCGCCATCCAATATAAAGGTGCGCAACCCGCGCTGATAGAGCCGTTTTTCCAATGCACTGGCCAGGGTAGATTTTCCAGATCCCGAAAGGCCGGCAAACCAGATGGCAAATGAATTGTGCCCCTGTAGGCGCCTCCGGTCATCGCGGCCAAGCTGGTGCTTGTGCGGAATTATATGTAGTTTTTCCTTTTCCATTTAAACGAAAGCAAAATAAGCATAAAGAAAGTAAGCAGCCGCGTAAAACAGGCTTACAATACTCCCCAGTCTTAAAAAATCGTTGAAGTTATATTTTCCCAACTCCATCACCATCAAATTGGTTTGGTAGGCATAAGGCGTAATAAAACAACATGAGGCCCCGTAGGCAGCGGTTATAAACAGCGCTTCGGTTGAAAGCGGACTGGCGGGCGCAAGGCTAAGCACCACCGGAAAAATGATGGATACGGCCGCTACGTTGGTCACAAAGCTGGTAAGGATAAAAGTGGCTGCAAAAACCCCCATGATGGTAAGCATGGGGCTCCATTGGGTTGCGTTGCTAAATAGCACTTGGGTAATGCTATTGGCAGCGCCCGAAGAAATGAGTGCCTCGCCCATGGCCAGGGCTGAAATTAATATTACCAAAAGCTCGAGGCTGATGGACTTCTTTACCGTATCCATGGTTAAAAAGCCCAAAACCATTTGCACCAAACCGATGGCCAGGAGCGACTCAAAAAGGCTGATAAATCCGGTAGCCGCCAGGCCCAGTATTGCAACGGAAGCCAATACAAAACCTATTTTCTTGTTGTTGGCGGGGCCGCTTTCTGAGGGCAGGGAACTGATGACAATC